ATAAGGCAGAAAAATAAACAGGGAGCCTTTTTTTTTTTTTTTTTTTGATACAGAGTCTCAAGCTGTCACCCTCGGTAGGGTGCCATGGTGTCATACCTCACAGCAACCTCAAACTTGGGCTCAAGCGATTCTCCTGCCTCAGCCTCCCAAGTAGGTGGGACTACAGGCACCTGCCACAATGCTCAGCTGTTTTTTGGTTGTAGTTGTCATTGTTGTTTGGCAGACCCGGGATGGATTTGAACCTGCCAGCTCCGGTGTACATGGCTGGCGCCGAGCTAAACAGGGAGCCTGTTTGACAGTAAGGTTGAAAGAAACCATGAGCAAGACTAAGCTTTACACTAATATAATGGAAAGATGGCCTGCATTGTGTTTTCCTGTGATTATATATATATATATAAACTGTATATAAAATATCTATATATATAACATATATAGATATATATAAATGTGTATATATATATATAAAATAACTATCTATCTATATATATAATGGCTCTGCCAGCAAGCATTTTATCATGCACCTAGATTTTAATCCTTCATAAAAATCATGAAATCTATTTACATAGTTAAGAGAAGTCCTAGCTCATGAAGGACACGATGATGATTCCTGAATGAAAAGTATTTTAACCATGTGTCATATAAAGTGAACTTGAAATGAACTTCATAGTCTAATCACAGAGTAACTTCTGGCACTGGGAAAAGCACCTTGCCTGTTGTCTCCATTTTGCAGGAGTCTGAAAACAAATTTAAAAACCAGTTCACGGAGTGTTAGAAAGTTCTACATCTTAATTGTAGTCATAGCAGTTGCACAAATTAAATTCATCAACCCAGGCACTTAAAACAAGTGCATTTTATTGTATGTAAATTATACTTCCATGAAGTTGATTTTTAAAATATATAAATCAAAAAATAAAAACCAGAAGAGTGACTGATGGTCTCTAAACACAAAGCCCAGCCCTCTAGCACTGCTTTTGCAGTATTATGATTATCATCCCCATGTTACATATGGGGAAACTTTAGCTGAGTTAAGTGACATGTTCAAGGCCACATAAACACCCTACTTCTTGGAGCCACAGGCACACCTTGAATTGTAGTATACATTTATGACTAATTCAAGTTCTCGTTCAAATAAAACTGTACTACTTCATAGGTGGTAGAAGTACGTTATACCAGGTTTCTCTCTCCCACCCCTTATAACACTGTGTCACTTATTTACATAAGCTATAATTACCAAATATAAATTGCTATTATTATTTTTAACCAATTGCTATTAGGTCAATTGAGGTTAAAAATTGTATTTACCTCCACTTATTCCTTTTGTAATGTTCTTTGTTTATGCAGATCTGAATTTCTGAGCTATATTATATTCCTTCTGAGAAATTTCTTCAACATTTCTTGCAGAGTAGGTCTACCTGCAACAATTTCCCTTCATTTTTGTTTATCTGAGAAAGTTTTTACTTCTCTCTCCCTTGTGGAGGCTAATTTCTCTGGACACAGAATTGTAGGCTGTTTTTTGTTCTTTCAATACTTCACATATTTCCTTCTGCTCTCTTCTTGTGTCTGTGGTTTCTACAAGAGTGTGATATTATTCTTTATCCTTCCTTCTCTACACGTAAGGTTCCCTTTTTCCCTCTAGCTTCTTTGAAGATTTTCTTTTTGATTCCTGTGGTTGAATATGACACGTCTATGTGTAGTCTTTTTTTTTTTTTTTTGCATTTATCCTGCTTGGTGTTCTGTACTGCTGTAGTTTTAAATTTAGATAAAATAAGGTAAAAAAAAATTGAGTTATGCAGTTGCACTAGCCACGTTTTACATGCTCAGTAGCATGTGTGGCTAGTATCTATCACACTGGAAAGCCAGGTCTAGGTAGTAGAGGGAGGGGGTCCAATCTAGGTCTTCTAAGCATCTTTCAAGACTCGAATGGCACCTGAGAACTCTGGTGCTCCTATCCACCTCTCTGTCTCTGCTCATACAACTCACTCCCCTTTCTGGAGGGCTTCTCTTCTCAGATGACCTGTTATCTTACCCATTTTTTTTTTTTTTTAAACCTCCTGTTTAATTTAGGTCCCATCTATTCACATTTTCTTCGGAGGGAAAGAATGTGCTTCACTTCATCCCCTTCAAGAAACATGAACTGGGTCTACTGTCACTATGCTAAATTCGTCATATCACCATGGCCTAGTACTGAGCTTCACACTTTTGCTTTGTAGACTCAGTATCACATTCAACATCTAAGAATACAAAAACTGTTAATGAAACTGAACATAGTGTTGTCAGAATTTTGTCAAGTAAGAAAATAAAAGCAAGGACAACAAATAAAAAGATATTCTGATAGTACTCCTCTTTCCTCCCAAGAAGGGGAAAACTAAATGAAGTTTTCCATCCCCCACCCCCCCATTTGGGTTTGTAAGATGAAAACTCTGCCTCTGACCTGCAGTAAAGACATCTAGGAACCTCTGTTCCACAGAGGTCTAAAGCTAATATTTGTTGATCTCTTTTCCACTTTAATTTTCTTTTTTATTACATTTTCTCCCTCCTGTATGTATACCAGTAGTCAAGTTATTGGTCAAGTTATTTCGCCTCCCTGTTCTACATTTATCTTGTGAAGCTGCTGTAAGGATTAAGGGAGTTAACATATACCCAGGACTTTGGACAGTCTATTATTATTGGTATGTCCTGGAGTGGTCTGGCTGAGGCTGGTCTAGGGCTTAGGATAGGTTCAGCCTTCAAAGGGACAGAAGTGAAGTGGGACAGGAATATACGGAAAGACCGCAAAGCTCCTGGCCTTCTACTTTCCATCCAGAACATGAAACGCTGCTCTTTCTGTTTCATTCCACAGGTCCTTGCTTTCATGCAAAATGATAGCCTAACTGAGAAAGGACTGAGAATAGTCACATATTCCACAAAGAACAGGATGGATGAAGCCTGTCTTAAGAACATGAGTGCTGAGAAGTCTAAGGAGCTGGGGAAACCTCGATTGGCCCTGAGGTCCTCCTGTGTACTCCATTCCTTAGGTTCCTCTCAATTGTGTGAGGTATAAATGATGCCCGGCAATATATCACGTCAACAGGCCACCAAAAAATCCTCCTCAACTGGGCATATATCCACCACAGTGGACCTTAGGAATGTTGACACTGACCTCTGATTTCAAAAATTTGTTTCTCTGAGTTTCACAATTACACTTTTTCCAACACTACAAAAAGATTATCAGCCTTATTATTGGCTGGGAAAACTGTGAGGACAGATAGGCTCACATTACCTGTGCACGCAAAGGGAAAGATTAAAGAATATTATTTAGTTGGAGGTAGTTATTTTTTGAGACAGTCTCATTTTGTCGCCCTCGGTAGAGTGCTGTGGGTGTCACAGCTCACAGCAACCTCCAACTCCTGGGTTTAAGGAATTCTCTTGCCTCAGCCCTCCAAGTAGCTGGGACTACAGGCGACAGCCACATGCCTAGCTACTTTTATTTTTTGGTTGTTTGGCAGGCCCCGGCTGGATTCGAACCTACCAACTCTGGTTTACGTGGCTGGCACCCTAGCCGCTGGGCTACAGTCGCCCATCCGAGGTACTCAGTTTTCAACTTTGCTCCAGACTGTAATTCCCTAAGAAATCCTTTCAAGTGGTTGCAAACCGGAGGCCCATCAGCTGAATTCAGAGGCTGTAAATGTTTTATTTGAATTGTGTAGTCCAAGAAAAGGCTTTTAAGTAAAAATATTTTAAACTTTTATATTTTAAAAAAGTTCGGATTTCTAGCTTCTCTTTAAAAGTTGTAAGTGCCTCTGGGTTTATAGAGGCACAAAACAACTAGCTCTAATTGACAGGTGGTTTCTTTAAAAGTGTTGTGTTCGTCCATTCCCGAACCCTAAACATCCACGGAATGATTGTTTTTTTTTTTTTTCTTTCTGAGACAGACTTATTTTGTCACCCTCGGTAGAGTGCTGTCTCATCACAGCTCACAGCAACTTCAAACTTGTGCTTAAGTGATTCTCTCTCCTCAGCCTCCCGGGTAGCTGGGACCACAGGTTCTTGCCACAACGCCTGGCTAATTTTAGAAACAAGGTCTTGCTCTTTCTCAGGCTGGTCTCGAACCTGAGCTCAGGCAATCCACCCGCCTCGGTCTCCCAAGTGCTGGGATTACAGGCATGAGCCACCACGCCTGGTGGGAACGGTATTTTTTCCACCAGTATCCATGAGCATTTAAGCGAGTGTCAGCTGTTTCGGAGGAAGCTCGTTAGTTATACACACCGCGGTCAGGGGCGGCCGGAGAGGGTAACTTTGAATCTGAGACCGGCAGGAAATGCCTTTTGGTGAATACAACTCTCAGTCCTCAGTTTATCTATCTGGGAAATGGGGCTGATGATGCGCAGCTGTGGGAAGGACTGACGGTGGAGCACGCAGAGGGCTGGCCCAAACCCCAGGCTTCGGGGCACGGCTACCATCCACGCTAACGTCCCGGGAGACCTCATCTCGGGGCGCGGGGCTGTGGCGCCGGGGCACCCCGCGCCCGGCCTCGGTCTCCACCCCTCCCGGTCGGCCGCCGGGTCGGCCCCGGGCGCCGAGAGGCGTGGCCGGCCCAAGCAGACCCTCGCGGCGGCCATGGCCTCGGTGGTGGAGTACAAGGGCGTCAAGGCCGGCTACCACTGCGGCTACTGCGACTCCGAGGAGGGCAAGGCGTCCTGGGGTGAGTGTCCCAGTCCACCGGACTGGCGCGGCAGAGCCTCGTGCCCAACCCCTGCAGCGCCCTCAGCGCTCCAGGGCCGGCCCCTGGCGGGGGAGAGAGCAGATCCGCACCCCCTCTTCCTCTCCCCTTTCCCATTCGTTTCTTCCCAGCCAGTCCTCCTCCCCGCTCCGTCTCTCCGCCTCGCCCTCGCTGACGACGGGGGCCAGTCACGGAGAAGGAACGGAAATAGCGGAAAGCTGCCCTCGGCCAAGATGGCGCGGGCGGCGTCAGCTCCGAGTGGCGCAGGGCTGGCCCGGCCTGCAGGCGCGCGAGTGGCTTCGCGAGAACGTCCGGGGGCTCCCCGGCGGCGCGTGGCATTGTGGGGTGGCGGCGGCGGCGGCGGCGGCGTCGGGCCGGGCTGTGGAGCGCTTGCTGGGTAGCGGCCATGGCTTCCTGGGCCGGTCTGTCTCCCAGTATCGTGGAGTATTTCGAGGGCGAGGACTTCTACCGCTGCGGCTATTGCAAGAACGAGTCGGGAAGCCGCTCCCATGGTGAGCAGGCCGGGCCGGCGGGCGTGGGAGCCCGGGCGCCGGGGCCTCAGGGTCTCGGTGGCCCGGGCGAGGGACGCGCGGCGGCCGGAGCCCCTGGCGGTGCTGTCAGAGTTTCTAGACGGACCTCCGGTCTCATTCAGCGAGGAAGCTTCTCGGTGCTTATTCTTAAAAAACTAAAACAAAAACAAAACCGACGCTCGAACACGTGATTGTTTGGCCAAAATCTGCAAACTGTTGCCTGTCGGTGGGAGACGGGTTAAATAGAGGATGGCGCGCCGGGGAGTTGCACAGAGGCGCTCGCTGATGGCTGAGGCTGACCGTGGGTCCCGAGGTGGGAGCATCCCTGCGGCCAGTGCGGGGCGCAGGACGGTCGCGCGAGTGGAGAAGTTGGGGGTGTGTGTGCACAGTCGCTTGTAGATTAAATGTCTCTGGAAAAACGTGCAAGAAACAGGTGAACACAGTCACTGCCGGCCAGGGAGCGTGTTTGTCCTGATCTGTTTGAGAAATTTTTATCAGTTGCTTTTATGCCATGTCATTCTCCACCCACCTCGATGACGGCAGAGCCAGCCCGCCGTTTTGTTTGGTTTTGCCATCTCGATTGAGGTTTTCTTCTTTTTTTGAAAATTTGTAAAGAAAATAATTGTTTTTATTTCAGGGCGTGTCTTGAATTGGCAAATATTGGATGTAGGATCTTTTATTTTTAACAGGACTATCCAGCATTGTTGAAAACGGGATATACCCGGAGATAGAAACTTAGGCATTTTCCGTTTGGTCCGTTATGGCGTATGCATTCACTCATTCGTTAAAAGGGTTTTTAAAATGTTTCTTGTGGATAACTGTCTTGAGCAGTTATGCAGTCATTAGAAGTGGCGATTATGAAGACCAGATAAATGGAAGAATTACAGTGTGAAGTTAACCGGAGAAAATAAACAGGATGCAGATGGCATGTGCCATGTGATTACAGTTCTGAGAGGAAAACGGCGTAAGAGAAGCACACCAAATACTGACAGTGGTTGCTTTAGAGTAATACCTTTCTGTTTTTCAGACTTTTTGTATTGTGACTATAATATCTATATATAATATATTAAAACATGCCTAAAATGAATCTTTTAATAGGTCCTTGTTTTTTCCCCCCTAGTAATTTAGTAAGAGAAAATTGGCTAATATAAATATCTTGTGTTCCAAGTTTTGTGGAAGAAACTAACCTTTTCATCTGGAGAAAATAACTATACATTTCTGTAATTTTGACTTATAATAATATCTTTTAGGGCACCCAACCTGTTGGGCAGGTGAGTTTTCTTATTTTTATTTTATGGATAGTGAAGTTGAGGCTCATAGATAGCTTGTTGGTATCAGTGAGCATCTGCCAGATGTCTGGGCATTTCTGTTGGACTTTAGTGCCCTGATTTTTTCCATACATCCTTCTCTACCAATCCTGCCTCTAATTTTACATATCTCGGATGCAGTTTGCTGTTTACAAAAGGGAAAAATCCATTTCTCTTTTACTTTAGTGGAGATAAGCCTTTAAATGTTTTCTTACAGTCTTTTTTTCACAATTGCTAATTATTCCATCACATTGATAAATCAGCATCCCTGTAATCTTCCTGTTTCTGGATTTTTGGGTTACTTTCAGTTTTTTACACTTAGAAGGATTATTGCTGTATACTTTTGCCCTATTTTAATGTTCAAGCCTGTCTTGCAAATACATACTTGTATATAAATGAGGAGAATTAATGTTCATGAAAAAATTTGCTTTCTGATTTATCTGAGGAGACCAGTGTATTAAATCATCAGGGATATTATTAAAGTTAGAAGGTTAGAAGGGATAATGCAGTCTGGTTGCAGCGGGGACCTTAATTTATTTTATGTCATGGCGATTATTGACTACCCTGAACTAAATGTAATTACTTTGATGTATTTGATCCTTTAAATTAAATCTTATTTTTCATTTGTGTTGCATGCACATTAAGTCAAATTAACAAATGTGAAGTATGTACTCATTTATCCATTGTGAGTGTTCTAGAATTTTAACTTGGACACTGAGTATTTTTTAAAATAACACTTTGAATTTAAAAAGAAAAAGTTCATCCTGCTGTAATTAACACACTACTAATTTTTTCAGGCATGTGGGCACATTCCTTGACAGCACAGGATTATCAAGATCTTATAGACCGAGGATGGCGAAGGTAAAATTCCTTAACACAGAGAGACTTCTTGCAAGGTTCTTCTTATAATTAAAACAGAGGCATGTTTTTAAAATGTTTTCTTGTTTGAAAGAAGTTCAAAAACATTTTTATTCTTTTGTGTAGTGATTTTTTTCTCTTTTAAAAAATGATTAGTAATTTCAAGTATTCGCAAAAGCAAAGAATACGTTATAATGAACCTTATGTACCTATTACTAAGCTACAACAGTTAATAATATTCTGCCAGTCTTGTTTCATTGGTGCTCCTTCTTTCCACTCACCAGCTACTTCACAGCAAATTACATCAGTAAATTTTTATTACAGGTATCATGTTAATATATGCATAATAAGTACATATCTCTAAGCAGTAAGTATTTTTTTTCCTTTTTAACATATCCACTATACCATTTTGTCATACTGTACAAAGTTAATAATTCTTTCATGTTACCTGTTACCTACTTCTGATGAGGTTTTCCAGATTATCTCAAATTTTTTTTAATAGTTGATTTATTTCAATTAGGATTCCATTAAGGTCTACACGTTGTCTTCTTGGGTATGCAGATGATTTTTAAGTAACCCTTAGGTAAAGTTCCTTATATAAATGATTTTTAAGTAAGTCTTAGGTAAAGTTCCTTACATAAATGTAAGTAATGTTAAATACTTTATGCCAGTATTCTTTAAAAGACCTGGGGGATTGTGAGCACCAGCTGAAACATGACAACTTTCCTTATGTTTAATAATGAGACATAAAAGGTAAATATAGCTCAGATATTGAGAGATTTTGTTTGGCATATAAAAAACTTATTTTTAAGGTAGAAGGGAGCCACTGAAGGAGTTTATGTAAGACAGAAATGTGATGAAGTTTGTTTTAGAAAACACCAATCAGATGGTAGAGAGATTTTGAGGGGACGGTTGTGGAGGCAGGACGATGGGTGTCAGAGGTTATTATACTATCCACATGTGAGATAATGAGGACTGGCTTCTTAGTGGCAGTGGTGACAGGTGAGGAAAAATTTAAAATATATGTATGTTAGAGGTAGAAAGCTTGTTGACAGGATATGGAGGTAAAGTAGAAGGAGAAGTCTAAAATGACTTCCAGGTTTCTAGCTTGAGAGCTGAATGAATTACCATAGTTGTGGAATGCGTGAAAAGAATCAGGTTAGTTTTGGGGTGTTTTGTATGGTGCATGTGGAATATCCAGGTGTAGTTGTCATAGATAGCGGCATACATCATCTCCATAGCATTGTGGGCATTTTTCTCTCAGTGCTCTGTAGCATTAAGGATGGTGGCAGGTGAAGGCAGGGACGGGATCGTAGATGCTAGAGAGAGTGTAGTTGAGATGATTAGACTTGGAGCAGCAGTCCCTAACCTTTTTGGCACCAGGGACTGGTTTCATGGAAGATAGTTTTTCCAAGGACCCAGGGATGTGGGGAGGTAGGAGAGGTAGGGATGGTTTTGGGATGATTCAGGTTGCATTACGTTTATAGTGTACTTTATTTCTATTATTATTACATTGTAATATGTAATGAAATAACTATACAATTCACCATAATGTAGAATCAGTGGGAGCCGTGGGCTTGCTTTCCTGCAACTAGACACAGTCCCAGCATTAGCATCACCGCCTCAGCTTTACCTCAGATCATCAGGCCTTAGATTCTCATGAGGAGAGTGCAGCCTAGTTTCCTCACGTGTGTATTTTATGGTAGAGTTTGCCCTTCTGTGCAAGTCTAATGCCACTGCTACTCTGGCAGGAGGTGGAGCTCGGGCAGTGATGGGAGTGACATGGAGTGGCTATCGATAAGATGAAGCTTCACTTGCTTGCCCACTGCTCACTGCCTGCTGTGAGGCCTGGTTCCTAACAGGCCATGGACCCGTATCTGGGGTTTGGGACTGTAGGCTTAGAGGGCATAAATAAAGCTTTAGGAAGTAAAAGGTTCTTGGTATGCCAGTTTTGAAGGTTATTTTTTTGTGAACAATAATTAAACGTCAGTGCATTTTTACACCATTGATTAGATTTTTACTCTGAGTTAATTTAGTACTCCTTTACTGATCTATTTTGGTACGTGTGAAAAATATGTAAGAACTTAACAAAGTATTCTTTTATAATTTTAGAAGCGGAAAATATGTATATAAACCTGTCATGAATCAAACGTGTTGTCCTCAGTATACAATAAGGTGAGCATTTTAATTAATAGAAAGAAGATCAATAATAGGGAGATTGTGCATAATTTTTAGTAATCTCTTGTGCTTTTTAAATTGTGCTTTTTAAATATGTTAATTTCCGCTCTAGATAGGCCTTATTAAGGAAAAGCAAATAAATTATGTATTTCATCACTACTAGTGATTTTTTTTTTTTTTTTTTGAGATAGAGTGTCATTATGTCACCCTTGGTAGAGTGCCGTGGCATCACAGCTCACAGCAGCCTCCAACTCTTGGGCTTAAGTGATTCTCTTGGCTCAGCCTCCCAGTAGCTGGGACTACAGGTGCCCACCACAACACCTGGCTAATTTTGGTTGTAGGTGCCATTGTTGTTTTAGCAGGCCCAGGCCAGATTCAAACCTGCCAGTTTGGGTATATGTGGCTGGCACCATCATAAGTGATTCTCTTGCCTTAGCCTCCCAAGTAGCTGGGATTACAGGTGCCTGCCACAATGCCCAGCTGTTTTTTTGCTGCAGTTGTCATTATTGTTTAGCTGGCCAGAGTTGGGTTCGAACCTGTCAGCTTCCGTGCATGTGGCTGGCACTGTAACCACTGTGCTATGGGCACCGAGTCAATACTGGTGATATATTTATGTGCTGATTAATAGCTTTTAATAATGTTTAATTGGTTGGATATAAATATGATACGAAAACATATCCTATTTATTTAACCAGCTCATCAATGAATGCCATGAAATACTGGGCAAATATTCAAATTTCATTTATTGGGTGGTGCCTGTGGCTCAAAGGAGTAGGGCACCGGCCCCATACACTGGAGGTGGCAGGTTCAAACCTGGCCCCCGCCAAAAAAAAAACAACAACAAAAAACCCCTGCAAATTTCTTTTATATATCACATTTTAGTGGATTTAGAATTTCCTACATTCTGGTATATTCCCTGACACTGCTTGCATTCAAGCAGCACTACAGGAGAAATTAGTTGGTAAGAGGTGGGCATAAACTTAGTCGGCCACTTACACGTTCAGAGTTCAGTTTTCTTAAATGGAAAACTTAAACCAAAAAGTATTTTTCCTTCAAAGTATTTGTTGGATTTTTTAATACTCCCTTGGGTTTTCCATGCATCCCCTTGCCCCATCCTAACGTAGAAGAATTTTCTCTCCTTTTCTGGTTATAAAGATTATCTTTTTCTTCATCTTTCTTTTTTTTAATAGAAAATGTGGAAAGTACATTAACATTTTGAAGTATAGATTTGTCTCTAATTTCAATGTGTGTATAGAGTGTAGATAAGAAAATCAGACACTGTTCTATCCATCACCGTTTTGTGTGATCTGTACAGTCCATTAGTTGTTCTTGTTGCAGACCATTTTCAGAATGTGATGGAAGCTATAGCCTCCCTCTGCCCCTTTCTGCTCCCTTCCACCAAGGCATATAGACATAAATATGTAATATTTTGTATTTTAATTTTAGGATGATCACAGTCTTCTACAGGTCCACTGATCCCCCCAAAAGAGCCCTTTCTTACACATCTGGGCATCAGATTGACAGATAACAAGGAGAAAAGATGGATATCTAGTTTGCTGATACCATCTCATGACATGAAGATAGAATGATAGAGTAGCTTGTACTATCTTCTTTTAGCTTTTGTGGTTGTAAAAAGAAGACATTTTCTAGGGCAGAAACCATTTTCCTTCAAATAGCAATTTGAATTACAGACAGGATTCTGTTTCTGAGTTTTAGGTTGATTGGCCTAAATCTCATAGGAGGCTGATTTCAGTTGGTTAAGAAAGAGCTAAAGAATTCAAAATCTATTTGGTGCCAGTTATATGCAAAGCGCTATTCTAGGTATACTGCATTTGTAAAAAATGGATTCAGTTAACATTGCAAAACAGTAGTTATAAAATGTGATTTTTGCGTTTAACCTGGGATCAAACTTTCCTAAATTGTTAACCTTTATACAGTTTCATTATATATCTTAATCTCATGGTATCATTTTTCACGTTTACCCTTCTAGTAATTTTACCGTGTATACTAACAGCAGTTACGGGAAGAATTTGCATATGGGAACAGAGATTCTAGCCTTCACTTTAACTTCTGTAGGCAGTAGTTCTGTGTGCATAAAGGAGGACGTACTTCTCTGGCTGTGATTTTCTGTTTCTTTCTAGTTTTTTAAAAATCAGAATTATACATGTTGATAATTTACAGTGTCAGTTCCATAAAACTTTTTTTGGAAAATAACAATCCCTCACATCCCCTTTTCCATTTCCTGTTTCCCAGTAGCAGTTGCCTTTAAATGTTTTGACTGATTGTTTTGGTTTTTCATCTCTCTGTCTTTTTTTTGTTTTGTTTTGAAAACAGGTTCTCACTTTGTCAGCCTTGTTAAGAGTGCCATGGTGTGATAGCTCACAGCAACCTCAAACTCTTGGGCTCAAGCAATTTTCTTGCTTCAGCCAGATGTTGTGGTGGGCATCTGTCTGCCTATCTGTCTATCTGTCTATCTATCTGTATTTTTTTTAGAGATGGGATCTCACTCTTGCTCAGGCTGTAATCCCTTCCAAAGTGCTGGGATTACAAACTTGAACCACTGCGCCTGGCCTTCATCTCCCTGTCTAACATTCTTATGTAATTGTAATACTTGACTTTTTATTCTCTTAGTTTCCTCCTTTATTTTTGGAATTCTCTCTGTGAAAGATAAAGGATTTAGTTTTCTTTTATCCTTGTTCCCCTGCCATATTCTTGCTCCCTTTTGTACCCCAGGTTCCCACTTAGAAGTATTAGAACTTTGGATAGATGTATGCAGATCATTATGACTGTGCAAATATGCTTCACAGTTGGGTCGTGCGGTATACTATGATTACTTTTCCTTTCCTGCACATGTTTTTTCTTTCTCTGGAGTTAACTCATTATCATAGTCTTCTCTGTAACTTTGACCACTTTATTTTGAAATAGTCTCTCATTTGCATAAACTTCTTACAATGTTTAGATGCATTGAGTACTTTATCATTTCTGTCTTCTTTAAAGTCTTATGTGGAACCTTCTGACTTGCTATGATCTGGATATGTTACCCTCTGCACCTGAAGCATCATTGTCATTCTGGGATTTCTTTTCATTATCATCTTGGGGATTCTATTTAGCTATTGAGTTGGATCTCCTTTCCCCCCCTTGTGTCATTCCCTTGTTTTAGCGAAGCACATCCTGTAATAGTTTCCTGAGAAAAAGTACATGAGAGATAAATTATTTTGAGACTTTGCATGTCTAAAAATGTTTTAATTCACTGCTCAAACTTATAGTTTGGTTGGGTACAGAAGTGTAGGATGATAATAATCTCCCTTTAGAATTTTGAAGCCTTTGCTCCATTGTTAAGAGGTACAGTGTTTTATTGATTCTTGTACTTTTTTTTTTTTTTTCAGTTTTTGGCCATGGCTGGGTTTGAACCCGCCACCTCCAGTATATGGGGCCAGTGCCCTACTCCTTCGAGCCACAGGTGCCACCCTGATTCTTGTACTTTTGTCCAAAACTTGTTCTTTATTTTTGGAAGCTTTTTTGTCCTCACTGTTCTTCCATTTCATGTTATATTTGGCTCTGTGTCCATTTTTATCCATTGGATATGGACTTGAGGGTCTCTTTTTATCTGAGATCTCCTACCATTATTTCCTTCAGTTCAGGGAAATTTTCTTGAATTTTTTTTTTAATCGTCTCACCTCCATTTTCTTTCTTTTCTTTAATGCCTTTATTTACATATTTGACCTTTTAGATTAGTCCTCTTAACTTTTGTTTTCTCTTTAGTTTTTCATTTCTTTTTTGTAGAATCTTCTGAGAGATTATGTCCTCAACTTTATGTCTTTTTCTTAATTTTTAAAATTTCTTCTATCATATTTTTTCTTTTTGTTTTTAGAGTATTTCTCTCTCTCTCTTTTTGGTAACATCCTGTTTTTAATATTTTATTGCTTTAATACAATCTTGTGATTCCTGCTTTTCGAAGTTCCATTGGGAATTCTGTTTACTCAGTGAGTCTTGTTTACTGTGGCCTTTGGCTATGTTTTGGTCTGCTTTCTGTGGGCTGTTCTATTTGAGGCGTCCTGGGTGTTAATATTTTTAGGTCTGATTACATTCTGGAGAGAAATCATAGGCTGCTGGTGTTACGGCCGGGTTGGGGAGCTCAGCATTGCATTTGTACACTTTGATTTAAGCTTCCTGTTTGTAGCACAGTGCCATTGTTTTCAACTCTGTCTCTTATCCCTCATGTAACAGGCTCTTATCTTTTACATTTTACTTAAAGTTTGCAATTTTCTGCTGGGTTGAGTAGGGAATTGTATGCAGGCGGGGGAGGGGATCTGACAATCTATCTTAAAAGCCTTGAAAACAAATGTATAAGGGATTGTCTTATTTTTAGACATACTTTTACTCATACTTTCATGGGTATCAGGTTTCACCAATCTTTTTAGGGGTAATGTAGAGGAAATTGGATATCTTTTTGGTATTCACTGTTAACTTAGGATTTAACTTTTTTGGTCTGTTAAGTCAGTTACTACTTGTTTCATCTGCCTTCCAGCCTCCAACTGTTCTCTGTTTCTCTTTTTTTCTAGTGGTTCATGTCTTTTTCTTCTTCTTTTTTACTCTTTTAACTGTACTTTTAGTGTGATTTGGGGTGGCATTAGAAGAGGCTAATTTAAACTCCATGTTTAACATGAAACCTCAGGCATAAGATTTGCCTCACTGTATAGATAACTATCCAGAGCTGATTTTATTTCAAGTTTGATTTTAATTTTTAAATATTTATTTTGCTTTCCTAGGTGCCGACCTTTACAGTTTCAGCCTTCAAAATCTCACAAGAAGGTTTTGAAAAAAATGTTGAAATTTCTTGCTAAAGGGGAGATTTCCAAAGGAAATTGTGAGGGTAAGATGAGATGGGGTCATAATCTTTACCTTAAGTTGATGTCTCTTTCCAGGAGTCCCATATTCAGTCATTTTAAGTTAGGGGAGGGCGTCATTACCACAATCATGTGCTGCTGCTACTATGATGACAGCTGTTAATGGCATTGCCATTACTGTTACCTCTGGCCACCAAATTAAGGATATAGCAAATATTAATACAGATCAGGAGAGTCTTGCTTGGAAAGAAAATTGAGGATCATTTTAAAGATACTGTGAAATGTCAATTTTCAAAGTGATTTGACAACTTATCTAACTTGATTCTAAGAATATCTTTAAGAAGTAAATAGAAAGCGGCATTATTTCAGTAGAAACAGATGCATACATGCAGCTTATATGAGATTGCATGGTTACGTCTAATGTTGAGTAAAGATTGGGTTTTCTGTGTTTGAGAAAGGCTTTACTTCAGTAAAATATACCGTCTGAAATTTTCTTTTTTATTTTTCTTATTCTCATTTGTCTTTCTTTTATTCTTCTTTAAATTTTGAGTGACTTTCCTAAAAGATAACTAATAGCATTTAAATTAACTTTATTTTTATTACTGATTTTTTTTTAAGAAAGGATCTTTGTTGCTTAGGCTAGAGTGCAATGGTGAGATCACAGCTCACTGCAACTTCAAGCTCCTAGGTTCAAGCAGTCTTCCCTCCTCAGCCTCCTATGTAGCTGGAACTACAGGCACATGCTATCATACTTGGCTAATTTTATTTATTAACTTATTTTTAAATTAAATTAAACTTTTTAAATTTCATATTAATGTGAGGGTACAAACAACCAGGTTACAGTATTTGAATTTGTTAGTAGAGTCTCTTCTTGTAGTGTGTCCTGTACCCAAAAGGTGTGCCACATAATTGTGCCCATTAAGTGGGAGCACCCCAAGCCCCTTCTGCCCCCCTCCCAACTTGAATTGAAATGAGTTTTTCTCCTCTGTGAGTGTGAACTAGATCGTCCACTGGCTTCATGTTAGTATGGAATACATTGGATATTTGCTTTTCCATTCTTGTGATACTTTACTAAAAAGAATGTGTTTTAACTCCATCTAGGTTAATACAGAAGATGTAAAGTCACCATCTTTTTTTATGGCTGAATGGTGTTTCATGGTATACATATACCACAGTTTGTTAATCCATTCTTGAGTTAATGGCCATTTAAGTTGTTTCTACATCTTGGCAATTGTAAATTGAGCTGTGATAAACAATATAGTGCAAATGTCTTTATGATAAAAAGATTTTTTTTTCTTCTGGGTAGATGCTGACTAGTGGGATTGTGGGATCAAATGGGAGGTCTAATTTGGGTTCTTTGAGCATTCTCCATACTTTTCCCCAAAGAGGCTGTATGAGTTTGTAGTCCTGCCAACAGTGTAAAAGTGTTCCCCTCGCTCTATATCCATGGTAGCATCTACAACTTTGGTACTTTGTGATGTGGGCTAATCTCACTGGGTTTAGGTGGTATATTAGGGTGGTTTTGATTTGCATTTCTCTGATGATTAGGGATGATGAGCTTTTTTCATATATATTTGTTAGCCATTTATCTGCCTTCATCAGAGAAGATTCTGTTCATATCTAACACCCAGTGATAGATGGAATCATTTGCCCTTCCCTTTTTTTGTTGATTAATTTCAGTTGTCTACAGATCCTAGTTATCAAACCTTTGTCAGATTTGTAACATGCAAATATCTTTTCCTATGCTGAAGGTTGTCTGTTTGCTTTAATTGTTGTGTCTTTATGTGCAGAAGCTTTTCAGTTTATTTTTTATTTTATTTACTTTTTATTAAATCATAAATGTGTACATTGATGCATTTATGGCATTCAGTGTACTTACTGATTTGATATACAATGTGAAATGCTTACATCAAACTGATAAATACATCTATCACCTCGTCTACTTATTTGTTGCAGTAAGATAATTTTACTTTCCTTAATAGGTTTGAAATGTACCATTGCATTATGCACATTAGTTGAGGTCCCCTAAATATCCTCCCTCTTTCTGGCCTCCCTCCTCCCCTCCCCTTACTTTCCTCTGCCCTTCTACTTTTTGGATTATAGTTATGTTTTACCATTCATATGAATGTGTAGGTGATTATATATTGATTTCATAGTAGTATTGAGTACATTGGATACTTTTTTTTCCATTCTTTTTTTTTTTTTTTCTTTTTGAGACAGAGTCTCACTATGTCACTGTGTTGCCCTGGGTAGAGTGCCATGGCCTTACAGTTCACAGCAATCTCCAACTCATGGGCTTAAGTGATTCTCTTGCCTTAGTCTCCCAAGTAGCTGAGACTATAGGCGCTGGAAATAATGCCTGGCTATTTTTTGGATGTAGTTGTCATTGTTTGGCAGGCCCAGGCTAGGTTCAAACCTGCCAGCTCTGGTGTATGTGGCTGGTACCCTAGCCGCTGCGCTACAGGTGCTGAGCCTTTTTTTCACTCTTGAGATACTTTTCAGTTTAATTAAGTCCCATTTGTTTATTTTTGTTATTGATGTAATTGCTGCTGAAGTCTTTTTCATAAAATCTTTCTCCAGGCTGACATCCTTAAGACTTTTCCACACTTTGTTCTAGAATTTTTTGGGGGGGGTACAATGTACTGATTTTATTATATACAATCTGAAATATTCTCATCAAACTAGTTAACATAGCCTTCATGGCATTTTTTAGTTATTGTGTTAAGACATTTATATTCTACATTTAGTAAGTTTCACAGGTACCCTTGTAAGATGCACCATAGGTGTGGTCCCACCAATTACCCTCCTTCCCACCCATCCTCCCTCGTTCCCCCTTCCCTCCCCTCCCTCTCCCCTTTCCCCATATTCTTGGGCTATAGTCGAGTTATAGTTTTCATATGAAAGCTATGATGTTCTAGAATTTTTATTATTTCATGCCTTAGATTTAAATCTTTTATCCACCTCAAATGAATTTTTATCAATGGTGAAAGGTGTGGGTCCAGTTTCATTCTTTTACATGTGATTATTCAGTTCTCCCGGCACCATTTATTGAATAGGGATTCAATAAATATATATATATTTATGTGTGTATATATATATATATTTATGTGTATATATATATGTATATATATTTTTTTTTCAGTTTTTGCCAGGGCTGGGCTTGAACCTGCTATCCTCATTATATAGGGCCAGTGCCCTACTCCTTGAGCCAAAGGCATTCTTCCTCCCTACCCCCCATGTATGTTTTTGTTTGGTTTATCAAAGATCAGATGACTATAAGAGACTAGTTTCAAATCTTGGTTTTCTTTTCAGCTCCAAATGTCTTATGTCTATTTTTGTGCCAATACCATGCTGTTTTGATCACTATGGACTTGTAATGTAGCCTAAAGTCTGGTAGAGTGATGCCTCTGGCTTAGTTTTTAATAACTAAAAATTGCCTTCACTATACTGTTTTTTTTCTGGTTCCATACGAAATGAAGAACTATTTTTCCAGTTCTTCAAAGTATGATGTTAGTATTTTTTTGGGGATTGCATTGAATCTTTAGATTGCTTTGGGAAGTATAGACATTTTAACATTGTTGATTCTTGCCAGCCAGGAGCATGGTATGCTCTTCCATTTGTTAATGTCTTCTGTTATTTCTTTTCCTAAAGTTTCATAGTTCTCTTTTGTAAAGGTCCTGTACCTCTTCTGTTATGTTCTTATGTAATTCATTTTCTTTGAAGGTACTATGAAGGGAATTGTATCTTTGATTATCTTTTAAACTTTGCTATTGTTGGCATATACAAAGGCTATTGGTTTGTGGATATTGATTTTAAACTCTGAGATGTTACTGTATTTCTTGATCACTTTTAGGAATTTTGTAGTTGAATCTCTGGGGTTCTCTAAGTATAAGATCATATCATGGGCAAAGAGTGAGAGTTTCATCTCCTCTGCCCCTATTTGGATGCCCTTTATTTCCTTCTCTTGCCAGATTGCATTGACTAGAACTTCCAGCACTATGTTGAAGAGTAGTGGCAATAGAGGACATCCTTGTCTGGTTCCAGTTCTAAGTGGAAAAGCTTTCAGTTTTACTCCATTCAGTATGATGTTAGCTGTGGATTTGTAGTACATGGCTTCCATCAGTTTAAGAAATGTGCTACCAATGCCTGTATTCTGAAGTGTTCTTGTTAGAAAAGGATGCTGAGGCTCGGCACCTACAGCTCAACCGGCTAAGGCGCCAGCCACGTACACCTAAGGTGGCGGGTTCGAATCCCCAGCCTGGACCCGCCAAACAACAATGATGGCTGCAACCAAAAAATGGCCAGGCGTTGTGGCGGGCGCTTGTGGTCCCAGCTACTTGGGAGGCGGAGGCAGGAGACTCGCTTGAGCCCAGGAGTTGGAGGTTGCTGTGAGCTGTAATGCCACGGCACTCTACCCAGGGGGACAGCTTGAGGCTCTGTCTCAAAAAAAAAAAAAAAAGAAAAGGATGCTGAATTTTATTAAATGCTTTATCTGCATCTATTGAGAGGATCATATGGTCTTTGTTTTTGCTTCTATTGATATGGTGAATACATTACATTTATGGATTTGCATATGTTAAACCAGCCTTGCATCCGTGGGATGAAGCCTAGTTGATCATGATGTATAATTTTTTTAATGTGTAACTGTAATCTATTGGCAAAAATTTTATTGAATATTTTCCCATTATATTCATTAGTGAAATTGGCCTGTAGTTCTCCTTTTTAGTTGGGTGTTTCCCTGGTTTTGGTATCAGGATGATGTTTGCTTCGTAGAATGTGTTGGGGAAGATTCCTTCCTTCTCAATGTTTTTGAATAGTTTTTACAGTATAGGTACAAGCTCTTCTTTGAAGGTTTGATAGAATTCTGGTATGAAGCCATCTGGTCTTGGGCTTTCTTTTGTTGGAAGATTTTTTATTGTTTTTTATTGTTTCTCAGGGCTTGACATTGTTCTGTTCAAGAGATCTGTTTCTTGGTTAAGTCTAGGGAGATGGTATGATTCCAGTATTGGTCCATTTCCTTCACATT